GCTTTATCTGAAACTGTGTCCGCTTCTTACAGCGTGAGTTTAATCTGCCAGACTGAAAACATGACAGACAAAACCCTGATAGACTCATGGACTCACCTGTCCACGAGCTCAAATACACTTCAGGGCCAAATACAACTTTATTTTCATTTCTTGGAGAGATGGCTGCATTTCCAAAAGATATCAACCCTTCAGCTGGATTCAGGGGAAATGTGTGTGACATTACAAGATGAAACATCTCTGTGGGATAGAGCAGCCGCTGCCTCTCCTGGGTGCAGGATATTTATGGGATGTGTGAAGACGGAATATCAAACGGGTGAAGTTGAACAGGTTACAGTGAGTGTGAGCTCAGGTTCCACCTGCATGATTAAAAAATCATCCCCCTCCTGCTGCAGTAAACTCGGTGGCACATGAGATGAGTTTGACGGCGACGTTGTCTGTGTTTAAAACCCTTAAAACAGACACTGTTAGCACCTCGCTGGACATGTTGGTCACTATGGCAACAGAAATGGCAAACACCTGATTCCCCGGAGCTCTCTCGTCTCCTCTGATCCTTTGTGAACACACTCACACACAGACTGGAAGACGACAACAGGGAAACTCGAGTACGGTCACTTTCTGTGTAAAACTCTTGGTGCTGCCGTGTCACACAGGGAATTTAATTTGTTTGCTCCACACCTGCACTGAGGACATGATCCTGACGTGATCTGAGCTGTGGGAACGATTGGAGGCAGCTAATTAGCTCAGTCGAGAGAGAGAAATCTGCATTTGAAGATACATGGTGCAACTTAACTATTTTCTCTATAGCATCGATCATGCAAGCAGTGATTGATGATGTTCCCATACCGAGAGTCGAACCCGGGTGAAAACCAGGAATCCTGACCGCTAGACCGAACAGGAGGATGTGTTCTGATATCACTGAGGGGGGGATATGGCCCAGAGGGTCGGCCGTTCGGGGTCTGTACATTTTTTTGCTACTTTTCCTGCAGTCGCTTTATAAAATGTCTGGAAAATGTGAGTCCTGTGCAGCGTCTCAGGCTTCGGTGCAACGTGAGTTTTGCTCTTGGCTTCTGGTGTGATGATAACAAAGCCGGGAGCAAAGAGGACGTTCTGTAAAGAGAACTGTAAACAGGAAGGTCCGCACCAGTGTTTAAATCTTGGCTGTTTATTTCTAGCATTATATTTTGATATACAGATCAGAAATGTCCCCGACACCAGTGAGTGGAACCATAGTTATACATACTGAGGTTTTATTTGCGGTCATATGAGACTTTGCCTCCTCATGTGTGATTATAAATACACTATGTAAATAGGCCACTTGATGCCCCGGTGCTCTATTGTTGTGGAGGTTAAATGAGGAGCAGTGGGATGATGCCTGGGACAGTGCAGCTTAATGCTGCTGTTCCCATCGTCCTCCTCCTCCCTCCGTCCGCCCCGCCTGCTTCCTCTCTCTCTTTTGTACGACGAGGGGCAGAGTCAGTTCCTGTGTCATTGTTGGGGTTCCATCTGCCTGGCTGCACACACACACACACACACACACACACAAACACACACAAACACACACACACAAACTGAGCAGCAGCAATTAAACCTGTTCGACACACTTGACAGAGATGAGCTTTGCACTGTGTGTGTGTGTGTGTGTGTGTGTGTGTGTGTGTTTGTGTGTGTAAGTTTCACAGATGGCTTGTGCTGGACACACACACACACACACACACACACACACACACACATTAAATAGATTTCAGGCACAGACACCCCACCCCCCCTTCTTTTTGGCATGGGGGGACAAGTGCAACTCTTCCTCCTCTGGTGATGGACACACGAGACAGACGAGTTTAGGGAGGGGACGGAGAGCTGGACGGAGGGATGGATGGATGGATGGATGAGTGGGTGGGTGGGTGTAGAGGGAGGACAGGATGGATGGATGGCAGATTGGGGAGCAGACCTTTCGTTTATTGTGGCTCCCTGAAGTAGGACAGCAGGCAGACAGATAGACAGACAGAGCAGCTGTGATTGCTGGTGGCAGCAGCCCCCATCAGAAGATATTGTATTGATATAAGGCTGTTAGCAGGAGATTAGCATGTGGAGGACCGGGGGTCTGAGCCAGTCTGGGTCTGCACCGTGTGCCTGTGGGGGGGCAGCTGATCGTGATGGTGCCATTGTTCTTTTTGTGAGGTTTGACGTGCTCTACTTTCTGTTGAACGCAGGTCGTAATGCTCATCCCACAGTCACCACATAAACGCAATATGGTTTCATACGATGCATGATTTGATTTACCTTCTACAGTCGCCTCCTCCAGTTCCTGCTGAATATCATCCTCAGCAGAAATACTCCTATAATAATAATAAATATGAAATAAAATGCTGGAGGACTCAACAAGTCAGGTTTGTTAAGCAGAGCAAACCCCACCCCAAACCTTCTGGTACTTTTGTAAACACTACCCTCCCAACCAGGGACTTTTTGGCTAAAAATATCCCCAGAACTTTATTCAGACCTTGGTCCCTGCGGTGGAAACACATGTAGTTCCTGCAAAGGTTCCTTCTTCCAAGGGAAAGTTCCTGTGGTTGAAATGCTGCCAGAATGACAGTTAGTTATTGGCTCATAGTTTTAATCTTTATGAAAAAATATACAAGCCCTCCCAACATTCTCATCCTCTCTTGATTTAACAATTCACATAACGTGTCGTCCTCAGGGATTTTTTTAAATCCTCCAACTTGGAGAACCAGCGGAAGGATTCCTGTTCTCAGCTGTGCAACTGAAAAGCTTTAATTCCTTGATAAGTTTGCTGTAACATAAGATTCAGAGCCAAACGTCTGCTTGATTCGAATATATGTATATGTAATATAATTTTGTTTTTAACACCATATGTTTAAACCATTTTTCTTCAGCTTCCTCAAAAACAACTTGAAGCTCTGTAGCCGGTCGATAATAATTTGATTTACTCCAAAGAAAACTTTCTTATTGACCCTGTTTTCAGACATATTAAGCAAACGATTCTAGAATCTTATCGTCTCACATTTTCATCTTATTGATCCAGGAATCCATCACTGAACAGCCAAAGCAGGAGCAGACTTCTGAACACCTGAAAACCAGTGTGCGGCTCTGTTCTGTGGAGAGTTTGATAGAAAGTTGAAATGTTTCCAAGTTTGAAGCACAAGCAAAACCAAGCAAAACACATGCACATGCATAAATTAATTCTTTTTATAGGAGAATTGATCCACAACGGATCAGAGGAGGATCAATGACAGAACAGACCTGAGGACAATTACAACCTCCGGCCAAATACACTCGTCCCAAACTGACCCAAACAGAGAGACAACACTCGTATCAGCTGTAACAGCCCAACAATTAACAAGCTGCTGTCTTCGAAAACAACAGCGAAACATCAGTAAAACGAGCGAGAGAAAGAAAACACAGAATAATATAGCAGGTCTGCACAGATAAGAAAATACACAGACAGAAAAATCATGAGAGCTGGTGAACCAAACAGTAAAAACACAGATTACAGCAGCTTAAAAAAAGAAAAAGGAGTCAAATCTGAAAATAAGGAGCCGTGCAGATCCATCCTGAATCAGACCTGTACCAATAATCATGTAAATCCATAATATCCATCTTAGCAGGTGTGTGTTTTGATGTGTGTGCAGTAATCCCTGTATTATAGGCCTCCTAAATACATGTTTGCACCTCTGTAGCATCCCTTAGCTTGTGGTTAAGCTTCCATATCATTTACTGTAACTGTGCTTATACCTCACTGTGGGCGGCTCGCTTCACGTAGTTAATGGCACCTTTTCTGCCTCTGGAGTTGAATAAGCTTAGTGAGCACAGAATGAGCTGCAGCGATACGAGCACATCGCTGCAGCTCCATCAGACAGAAGATATTTGTAAAGGTGTATTTAATGTCGTAGTATTGGATCGGGGTCAGGGGTCAGGGTCCTGCTGAGACACATAACAGTCAGGTGGATATTTGTGTTCTTCCTGTGAAGCTGTTTTCAGACATGAACTCTGGAAATCACTGAACTCCCTTTTTCACACTTGAAGAATGTCTGCTTATACAGAAGGCTAAAGACGACACGTTCAGACGGTCCAGAGGTTAGCTCATAATTCATGCAGTTCATTGTGTCATGTCATGTTTCAACCCAAACATCTTCTTTTGCTTCTGATGTGTAACTTTTTGCCGAACAGCCAAATTGAATGATCAAAGTTTCCTCCAACTTTGTGAAGTTCCATCACCGCTGACGAGTCGCAGACTTCAATAACGTCACCAGGCGTTGAACTACAGCGGGTTCATCACTTTTCTGCGTCCCCCTGGAAACAGTTTCGCAGAGCGTTGCTGCAATTGAATTACAATGAATTTGTTTTCTTAATTTGCTCGTAATTTTTCTGTTTTCACGTGTTTTGTCAGCGATGCGTTGAGCTCTCTCCCAGAGTCAAAACCAAACATGGAGAAGCAGCGTTCTGTGTTTATCCTCCACATTCGTGGAACAAGCTCCCTGAGCCGCAGGTCTTTCATTAAATCAAATCATTTCTTACACAGTCACTCCTTCATGTCTTATTTTATTCATTAGTATTTGATCTCACTCTTCTTTATTTGTCTGAACGTCTTTTACATTTGATTTATATAATAAATATAATATTTTATCAGGTTTGAACTGTCGTTTCCTATTGGCTGTAAAATCCTGCCTCTCAGCTCGTGCGCACAGGCTCGGTCAGCGATTGGCTGGAGAAAGAGCGGAGGGACCCACTGCGAGTGATTAAAGGGGGGAACGTGACGTTAAGAAGAAACGGACATGTGCGTGTTTCACACTCTCTGTGTGGTGTTGTGTGTGTGAAACTGATTTTTCCCGGAGTTGCGTGTCAGCGTTGTGTCGACGTGTTTGCGTGTACAAGTTGTCCTCGGCCGGTGAAGTTTGGTTTCGCCCCCCCCCCCCTGCGCTCCGCGGTGCAGTGGTCGGTCCCGGCGGTAGTCAGCCTCCTCCTGCCTCCCGTCGTCAGAGCGGAGTTAAAATGGAGGCGAGCGGAGGAGCGGCCGAGCTGTGGAGCTGGTTTCTACTGTCCCACCGCAGACACCTCTAATTTATATTAATGTACATAAACCCCGGGCCTCCATGAAGAGACCCGGCTCTGTCACAGCGGTGTGTCGGAGGGAGCAGCCCGGTGCTTGCTGTCCACAGTCGGTGTATTTATTCGGGTCTGGAGCGGGGATTCAGACGCAGGACCTGAGTTAGCTCGCCCGCACACAGTCTGCTCATCCACGGTCCGTGTCCGTCCGCCTCTCTACCGGACACGAACCAGGCGAAGACATGTACAACACGGTGTGGACCACGGAGAAGGAGGAGGGCGACTGGAGGGACGTGATGATGCCGTATTCCACCGAGCTCATCTTCTACCTGGAGATGGACCAGCCGCCAGGTGAGAGCAGGCTGGGGATAGTTCCTGGAGAGGAGGGGGTCCAGGCTGGGGATAGTTCCTGGAGAGGAGGGGGTCCAGGCTGGGGATAGTTCCSGGAGAGAGGGGGTGTAGGCTGGGGATAGTTCCCGGAGAGAGGGGGTGTAGGCTGGGACTAGCTCCAGGAGAGAGGGGGTCCAGGCTGGGGATAGTTCCCGGAGAGAGGGGTCCAGGCTGGGACTAGCTCCAGGACAGGAGTTGGTATTAGCCGGACGTAGCTTCAGGACAGAGGCGTCTAGGCTGGGGGTAGCTCCAGGTTAGAGGAGGTCTAGACTGGAGCTCCCTGCTGGGGTAAGGAGGTCTAGACCCCTGTGTCATAGGTCTAGGCTGCAGGACAGAGGGTCTAGGCTGCAGGACAGAGGGTCTAGGTTGTAGGACAGAGGGTCTAGGCTGCAGGACAGAGGGTCTAGGACGGAGGAGGTGTTGTCTTCGGTGTTTGTTGGAATCAGTGTTGAATACTGTCTCTTCCTCTGGAGCATTTCACGAGTATCTTGTCATTTTGTGTTTAGATGTGATGATTTTTTATTTGTGCATCGTCAGTTCTGCAGTTTTCAACACAATCCTTTCTGTTGCTGTAGTTGGGATTTCAAAAGAGGAATTAGGGACAATTTCGTCTTTAAATTTAGCTTTAATAACAGTTTCCAGGCAGCGATTGACAACAATGACATCACTTGAAACTCCCTGTTCTTCTTTTCGCTCTGCTGCCTCTGTTACAGCAGAAAGGTCCCTTTTCTTTTAGCCGAAGCTCGTTTTAAAGACAATACACTTGAAGTCTGTGTTTAAATCTTCCTCTGACCTCATGTAATTTAATATGATGAATGTTAGAAAAAGATGGCAGACACACCAGCCCAAATTATCTGAGACTAAAATGCAAAAAATATCATGTGGCTGAATTAGCTCCTTGGCACCAACAACACTTATCTGTATCCTAGAAAATATTTTTTAAATCTATAATCACTTAGAAATAAAAGTATAAATGACAAAGCTCCGTCTGGATCGTCCAGACATCATCTCTGGCTGGTGCCGACAGCAGGAGAGGGGGGGATGGGATCCAGGAGACGGTGAGAGGCTGGAATAAAAGCAGGAATAAAAAGCTCCGGAGCATTTTATAATCATAACATCCTTCACTGACACGCAGCTATGAGGCTTTGTGCCCCTTTATGACCAACTGTCAACCACATCTGAATGTTTCATTCATTCATTCATTCCTCAGCAATTGTGCCAGTGTCATTTGACACCCCCTCCTCCTTTTCTTTCTCTCCCCTCGGTGCACTGAATGGATCATGGCGCAGATGTGGGACGTTGTGTTGTTTCCAGGAGGCGCTGTTGAATGCAGTTTGCCCGGTAGCTCTTTCCCCCTTTTCCATTCTCCTCCTTTCTCTTCCTCCATCTGTCCATTGAGATGTACTCTACTGTATACACTCGGCAGAGCGGTGCAGTGTTATGTCTTATCTGTGGCTCGGTGCAGACACGAAGCAGTAAAACCCCTTCAGCTTTATCTGAGCAAGTGTCTCAACTGTAACAGCACATTGATTTTAAACTTTATCCCAGAAGCATTTTCAGCTAATGTGAAGTTTGTTGGAAAAACATTTCAGACACATGCAGCTACATTTTCTCCTGTTTGCATCCTGAGTTGAATCCACACCGTCGGTTGTTGTATTTTAGAAATATTGAAGTGTAAGTGAAGTGTTAATAACTTCTACCTGCTTGTTTAGAGTCAGTGTCTCCTCCTCGTCTTGTGTCTGGTAGACAGTCCTCCTCGGAGCGTTATGCAGATGCAAATATTTCAGTCAACACACCTTTGCTGCCGATTCGCACACTCAACTGCCACTGGACTCTGGCTTCTATTGCACCCAGGGTCGTTCATCTTTCTCGTGCATGGTTAAAAATAAATAGCAATAAATAGAAAGGTTGCTTTGTTCACTTGTGCAGATTAAATTACGTTTTTCATTTGTGGGTTTTGGTGATGAACAAAAAAGTCAAATTGAAAGACTGAGCGGGGATAGATGTGAGATGAGGACGAGCTGTTAGAAGTTGATCAAATGATTCCTCTTCTCACTAAACTGGTTTATTTACAACAGACACTTTTTCAGTAGCACCTGAAGCATTCGTAACTATTTGAGTTCTTTTCTGTGTGTGTCATTTCCTCAACATGTGAACACAGTGTGTGTGTGTGTGTCTTTGTCCACACACACACCTGACATGTCAACTGAGAGACAGAGGGGGGGGGAAACGGGGGGGAAATGCGGAGAAGGAAGAGAGGGGGGGGGGTGATAAAGGGCCGAGGAGAAATAGAAGGGGAGCGTCCCGCAGATGTTCATTAGAATATTTATTATGCTGGAATTGAAACGTGAATGCATCAGTGACAGTTAAAGTGTGTGTGTGTTTGTGTGTGTGTGTGTGTGCTTGTGTGTTTGTGTGTTGCTTGTGTGTGTGTGATTAGCACAGGTGGAGTGACCAGCCCCAGGGGAGGGCAAAGCCTGCGTTTTTAACAGCAAGTTTGTTTGTTTGTGTGTGTGTGTGTGCGTGTGTGTGTGTTTTTGTGCGTGTGTGTGACCGATGAGACTCATCTTCGAATGGAAAATCACCCGGGCATTTTAGTTAAAGGACCATGCCAGAGTTTTTTGGGTCGTTCCCACGTACTCCATGTTACTTCCTGGTTCTCCTCACTTCCATGTTGTATCCTGTCACATGTTTTGCCGTTTGAAAACTCACACACGCTTGAAACTCGTCTTCATCAAAGCTTGATTTGGGGAAATTGTGGAGAATGTTTCGTGCACATTTTACAGATCGGTGGCTTTTGTTCTGCATTGTTACACAACAGTCAAGTTGCATTGACAAGAATATAAGCTGCTGTTTTAAAGGCTTGTGACAGTTCGTTAAGGTCCATGATAATATGATCATAATATGGTTTGTGCACCAAAATCATTTAACTAATTTGATACTTGATATTTGTCAGTTAATTAATACCTTGATCATTGATAGAGGTTAAGAGACCTGCATGACTGCAGACTGACACTGGAGAACAATGACAGTACATTTCTTCATTTACAATGAGATCTGTGACGGAGCGACTCACTTTTATTTGCATGTCGCACTCAAATTAAAATCATCATCATCTTGTTTTCGTGGGATTTTTCTTCCTTCTTCCTGTGGTTTATATGACAGCAGCTGAGTGCGTCTGTGACGTCATTCACGCACGGCGGCCAAGTGTCGAAGCCTCTCTGCATACTGGACATAATCATCATCTGCAGGATTGGATTGACATGTGGCCCATAGGAGACGTAATCCTCTGAACGTTTGCCGCCCATATGTGTCGCTGAGTCTTTTATGAGGGTCATTATCTCAACATAAATTAAACCTGTTCCAAAGATCCTGCAGATTAAGATTTAAATTCATCATCACTGACCTCGGAGATTGTAGCTCGACGGATGATTAAGAATACGACTCAAGGTCCACTTACGATCTTTGTGCAGCTTTTAGCCGCATCACAAAGTCTTTGTCCCTGGATGTATTTGGCTCAGTTGTCTTGGAGATGGATGTGTTGAAATGCTAATGCAGTCGCTGCTGCTATTATTTCATTTGTTGGACTAACAGCATGAGCACATTATTATTTCTTTGTCTGTTTGAATGTCTGATGTTGAAGATTTCATTTCAAAAACCAGTTTGCATGCACACGTGCACATATTTTAATATCTTGCTCTAATTGGATAATTATATGCATTTTCTAATAACAGTAATATTATCGCACCTGCAGGTTCTTTGTGGTCACTTGCAAAAAATCAATTGGGAGAATTTACTTTATTTTTTCATTATCAATTGATTATGTGGAAAACGTTTGAAGGCATCACTGTGGATTTGGGCTTAGCTTGGATTTATTCACCGAACAGACTAAGACGGGAGTGAGAGAAAGAGAGAGAGAGAAAGAGAGAGTGAAAGAGTGAATAAATGAAATATTGAATAAGTGAGTGTCTTACTCACATTCAGCTGCCAGTCGCTCTGTGTTCAATAGAAAAGACCTGTTGATTTAGTGCCTGATGCTGGTGTGTGTGTGTGTGTGTACGGAATAGATATACCAGTTGGTAACTCCACCTCCCTCTTTTCTTTCTTTCTTTCCCTTATGAGCTGTGCCCCCCCCCCCCACACACACACACACGCACTCCGTTTAGACCCCCGCCACAATCGCTGCCTCCCGATTGGCTGAGGGGGCGGGCCTCCGTGCTCGGATTAGTTAGTGCATCATCTGTCTTTTAGGTTCAGCCCCGCTCACTCTTTCTTCAGTGTGTCGTAGCCGAGAGCAGGAGGAGGAGGTGGTAGCGGAGGAGGAGGTAGAGGAGGAGGAGAGAGAGCAAGACAGGGAGAGTGTGTGAGAGAGAGAGAGAGAGAGAGAAGGAGGGAGGAGGGAAACAGCTGAGAGACGAGTGGCAGCATGCAGCTAACGGAGAGCGCAATGTTGGAGGACGGTAAGAGACAGAATGGGACAGATTTGTTCAGTTTTCTCTTCCTCTGCCTCTTTGTTCTTCCATCCTTCCCTTCATTCTTTATTTCCTTCGTGTTTGCTTCCTTTATTCTTTCCTTTCTTTCATCCTTTCTTCTCTATCTGTCTTCTTTTCTTTCTGTCTTTCTCAAATACTTAGTCCACTTCTCTCTTTCCAGTCTGGATCCATGTCTTTGCATTTTAGATTTTTTTTCTGTCTTTTCTTTCTATCGTCTTTCTTTTCTCTCTTTCTGTCTCATTTGCTAAATTCTCTCCCCTCTTTCCAACCTGGATCCATGTCTTTCCATTTTTCCAGTTCCACTCTTCTTTCTCCACTTCTCTTTTCCCCCTCTTGTCTTTTCTTTGCCGCCCCCCTCCTCCTCCTGTCACTCAGCTTGCGGCACGCGACCTGAAGCCTGCAGAGCGCGTGTCCGTGCACTCGTGTTCATTGTTTGAGGCTCTTGTGCTTTTGTGCTGCAACTTTGTGGGAATTGGTGCTCGACAGAAAGTGGCTTATTCAAAGTAAAAGCTAAACTGGTTCCAGAATCTCAGATGTGAAGAGTTGCTACTTTCCTCCGAGAAATTTTTATTGTCATAAATGACATTTTAATGTTGAAACTGATTTGAAACATGAGTTACTTAAGAGTTAATGTGGTGGAAATCTGAACCCAGTTTGGAAAAGGAAAGAGTGCCTCCATGTGTGCATGCTTTCACAGCTGTGACGCTGAAACACACCCACATACTGTAGATGCCCACACACACACACACACTCACCACTTTCTGCTCCTCGCTTCACCAGGATGTAAAGTTATAAAAATAAAACGGATTAAAATGCAGAATCTGTTTTGTGCATCGTGCAGTTTTTAGTTGCTCTCAGTCTGTGCAGTCATTTCACTGTTGTGTGAGTACTCTTGTTTCTGCGAGGATCTTTGTTAATGTTAGGTCGCTGCTACGAAATTGGGCAGCACCCCCCCTCCCCTCCCCCCCGAAAGATCAGCTGGGATGTGGAGTGTGTGCGTGTGTGTTTATCCTGTATATGTGTGTGTCAGTCCGTGCTGACAGTCATTGTTCAGGAGAGAGTGTGTATCTGCTGCATATGTGATGACAAGTGATATTGCTGTGTGTGTGCGTGTGTGTGTGTGCGTGTAGCAGAGCGCTGCTCCTTTGTCTGGTGAGGGGGAGGGGGGAGGAGGGAGGAGGGGACGTTGCACTGACGGTCCCCTTTGTTCGTCCCTCGCTCAGAGTGCGATGTTGTGCAGTCGCTGTGGTCGTGATCTTTTTTCCAGATTTTTTCCACCACAGTGGTTTATTTTGACCAGTTTCCATGTTTTATGACATCGTGAGGATGTGTCCTCTCTGTTCAGACAGTTGTCATTCGTGTGTTCGGCTTCTTTTATGCAGGACAGATGGTTAGAAAATAACAGAGCCATCAGAGGTATTGATCAGCATGTCGGAGGGTTCGGCTCCGTAGACGCTGCAAAGGTCACTGGCTCCGATTAATTTAACGCTTCAAGTTTCCGAAGGACCTCCGCAACAAAGGACTTGTGTGTGTGTGTGTTTGTTGGTCACGTTCATTGTCCTGTTGTTTCTCACACTGATGCTGAAGTGATAAATCATCATCAAACTTTCATTTGCGTTGTGGATTCAGTGTTTTTTGCTTCGCTGTCAGTTTCAGATTCTGGGTTTAAGGCAAATTTTAGAGGAAACTGATAAATTGAACCAATTCCTAACTGCTGACCTGTTATTATTTTTATTTTATTGCAAAGGAAAATGAATAGTTGCAGCTCTTTGAACGACCTATTGTCCTGTTAGGACACTGTCCTTTGTGTACGTCCACACTGACACACACACACACACACACACTTCGTAGTGTGTTTCCATTAAGTTTGAGCAATTTAAAGAAATGTAATTTCCCCTTTAATTATTAAATTGCACAAAAGTTTGTCTTTAAATGTGAAGTGAATTTCCACTCTGTTATATTATGATGGAGGTGCACGTGCCCACAAAGTGCTGACGGAGGGAAACGGTGCAGCTGCAGAATGACAGTTTCGGTGGTGACACGGTGACAGACTGAAGGAGTGAGAGAGTGAGGACGAGTTGAAAGTGGGAACAAAGAGCGGGAGAGGAAGAGGAGCTGCCTCCGAGCACCTACGCACATTCCTCTGGACTGAAGATCTGCTCTGAGCATGTGTGTGTTTTATTAATAACAGTCTGTCTGTTTTTGTGAGACGTTATGAAAAGATCCCAGCAGTTATCGCTTCTTTATGTATATTTAGACTGTGTATTCTCAGCTGCTTCGGACACACACACACTGAGCGCTGGTGTTTTCAATCCAAACACTCTTTTATGGTCGCAGCTGGAGTCAGTCAGATGAAGCCTCTGTGAGAATCCATCTTCACCTACAGTTGTGTGGACTTGTAAAGATGAAAACTGTCTCCAAATATATATTCTCTCAACAAAAGAAGAGAGAAAGAGAGACTCATACTTCATACTTGTAGCGGTCCAGTTCTGGGGCCCCCTGGTGGCTGCAGAGGCTTCAGCAGCCTTTATGTTTGTTGATGCTTCAGCTCAACTGTCTTCATTAAAACAACGTATACAAACAGAACATGTGTATTTACATGTACGCTGCACATTAACGTCCACAACAACAGAGAGAATATTGGATGTAAATGTATTTAATTGGGCACAAACAGAAGCTGCAGTCGGAGGAGAAGATGTTGCTGCTGCTGGATGTGGAATTGGCAGCTGTCATGTCTCCTGACGACTATTTAATAAGGTCAGACGATGTCGTACGTTGTTTTCAGATTGACCTGCTGAACCCGTGAGGCCAGTGAGAGTGGATCAGTGGTACAGTGGATCAGTGGTACAGTGGATCAGTGGTACAGTGGATCAGTGGTACAGTGGATACGGTGACAGGTCTTTAATAGTGTGGTCCATGGGGTGTGGCCCCTGGATGCAGGGGTGTGTTGTCGAGTGTTACAGTTACACAGCAGCCGTGATTAAAGTGACACATTAACACCCGGTGAGTAACGGTCACGTAATGCACGTCGCATTTCTCCAAACTCACGCCGTCCTCTCCCTATGCATTGTGGGAATTTCCCCCATCTGTTTCAGTCGGCCGTGTGTGTGTGTGTGAACTGATCTGTGATGTAGGGGCTCTCCAGTAATTACACTGCTGTTCCTTAAACCATATCCAGATGTGCTTGAAGTGTGTGTGTGTGTGTGTGTGGATCATGCAGCGCTGCAGCAAACACACGTGCTAGTGTGTTAGCATTCAGGTCTGAATTAGCCTCCAGACCTTCTGCCCTGTTCTGTTTATTGATGATGATAATTAAATTAGTTTTGTGTGATGTGAATGATAATGAGAGATTCCCGTCTGACCCGATATTGTTTGTCCTGATAAGAACAATATTTAATGTACAACATGTTTTTTTGCTTCAAATAGTTAAATATATTTAAAAGTGGTCTAAACGCAAGCAGCCATACTTCTCATAAAGTTATGAGTCCAGTTGTCCTGTCATGATTCTGTCCTTTGTGTGATTCTGCAAAACTCTTAAACCTTGAGCTCAGTTCTGTCGTGGAGTCCTTTTAATAATTAGTCGTCCACGAGACTGAGTTTAAATGTTTAACCTTTTGATGGACAGACTTGATGTAAGTGACTTATAATCATCGTAACATGTTTTTGTTTGAAAGAAAAAGTTGGGTCATCAATGTGCTCCGGAAGTTAAATCACATTTTAATGTTACTCCCACATTCTCTTCCTGGATAACAACCACAGAAAGAACTGTGATGATGTATGGGCTGTGCTCGTCACGCCCCTGTTCACCTGTGATTTATATCTCCTGTGTTCATACAGCCTGTGTGTTGTAATTTACATATGAAATGCATGTTTCACAATGAAACATTCTGTTTGTGTTCATGTTCACATGAAGCCAGATTTTTAAGTATTAACGAAGCCTCGACTCTGCAGCGCCGGACGGACGTTTGAACTTTGCTGCAGTGCTGTCGAACAAACCCCAGGCTGTCTTCACTCCTGTTCTTTTTCACTTCTAACATATTCTCTTTCCCTCCTCCAGCTCTTCCTCCAAAGCCGGCGAAGCCCCAGCAGCCCTCCTCTGTCGGGGTGGGAGGGGGCGGCGGCAGCAACAACGGCGCCAAGGATGGAGGAGCAGGAGGCTCGCTGCAAGATGCGGAGTGGTACTGGGGAGATATATCCAGGTAAGACTGAGAGGAGAACTTCCTCTGGGCTGATGTGAAGTGACTCGATTATACGGAACATAACTGTTGCGTTGGTCTAAACTCAAGTGTCCTGATTGTTTTCCTGTAATCTGTTCACACACTGAAACCTAAAATTGTGTTGTTACAAAAGGTTCATTCCTGCTCGTGTGTCACATCCGTGAGTTTCAGAAGAAAACAGATCGGCTTCTCGATGTTTCACGAGAAAGACGTGAAATTATTTTTATTTCAGTGTAAGTGATGTGTTTTTAATGATCAGGAGTTAGACCTGCCTAAGTGTAGGTTGGTGCTCAGCTATAGTGTGCACACACAGTCAGATGATAACCACACCTACAGTGGAGACAGTCAGTCTGCCACCTACAACACACACACTCAGCTCAGTCCCGACATCATTTAACGGATGGACTGTTTACTCTGAGGTGTGTGGCTGCAGGGTAAAGTCCTCACCAACTGCCACTGATAACTGGAGGCAGACTTTTTTTAAAATAAACTCCATGTGCACAGCTCACGCAACCTACTCACTGTTCCGTGTTTTTCTTCTTCTCCTCTGTACGTTGTGGTTTTCAGGGAGGAGGTGAATGACAAGCTCAGAGATATGCCTGACGGGACCTTCCTGGTGCGGGACGCTTCCACCAAGATGCAGGGCGACTACACTCTTACACTGAGGTAAACTTCACTTTCACACCGGTTCAGTTTAGACTGAACCTAAATATCAGGTGTGAGAGGTTCCTCAGACCAACGCACCAAAATGTATTCCGACCAGACGAGGTGTTGAGTCTGGATCAAACTGCCAGGATTGCTGAAGTCTTCACCTCCGACCATATAATGTTGAAAACCACGAGGACGTTCATCATGTGCATTTGAACTAGTGTGGAGTACTGTGCAGTACTGTAGTACTGCGCAGTACTGCGCCTGAAGGTGCTGATGCTGTAACACCATCAGCTTGTTACCATGGCAACCAGATAAACCATTTTATAAATGTTCCCTGATCATGTGCTCGTCTCCTCTCTGTGTTCAGGAAAGGGGGCAACAACAAGCTGATAAAGATCTACCACCGCGACGGGAAGTACGGCTTCTCTGACCCGCTGACCTTCAGCTCGGTGGTGGAGCTCATCAGCCACTACAGACACGAGTCTCTGGCTCAGTACAACACCAAGTTGGACGTCAAACTCATGTACCCCATCTCCCGCTTCCAGCAGGTCTGAACTCGCAAGCACACGATAACGCAACATATACAACGTTCACATCTGCACACACACAAAATGACAAAAGAGTTGTTAGTGAGTTAGTTAGTTCATTCTTCCTTTAGTTTGAACTGTACTCAAAACACTTTCTGCCTCTGTAACGCCCTCCCTCCGTACATCGGGCCTCCTCCTCTGTGTTTCCGCTCCAAACTGCAGCAGCAGCAGGATCTCCGCTCTCTGAAATATTGCCCCGTTTCACGGCCCTCACGCCACACTCCCCTAAATAACTGCATCGGTGTCAAACGGCCGCCGTTGCATTTATTTTCCCCCTTTCTCAACTCATTTGCAAGAAGAGTCATTACTCAGAGCGATGCGATGTTAGTACACCTTACTCTACACCCAGGGCATTGTGGGTGGTTTATTAACGAGCATGAGTTGTGGGATGAAGGGAGCAAACATGCAGTTTTTCCTCCGTCTTTCATGAGGATTTTTTCTTCTTCTTCCTCCTGTCTTGAGTTTCTGTGCACGGCTTAAATATCTAATGCTTTGTCTGTCCTGCTCGACTCCTCAGGACCAGCTGGTGAAGGAGGATAATATTGATGCGGTTGGGAAGAAGCTCCAGGAATATCACAATCAGTACCAGGAGAAGAGCAAAGAGTACGACAGACTGTACGAAGAATACACCAAGACGTCGCAGGTACGAACAAACACAAACTCAGCAGAAACCAAATCAGCTTTTCTTTTTGTCCACTCACTCACCTCCACCTCGTCCCTCGTTCAGGAGATCCAGATGAAGCGCACGGCCATCGAAGCCTTCAACGAGACCATCAAGATCTTCGAGGAGCAGTGCCACACGCAGGAGCGCTACAGCAAGGACTACATCGAGCGATTCCGCCGCGAGGGCAACGACAAGGAAATCGAGCGGATCATGATGAATTACGAGAAGCTCAAGTCACGGCTCGGAGAGATCCACGACAGCAAGGTGCGGCTGGAGCAGGACCTGAAGACGCAAGCCATGGACAACCGCGAGACGGACAAGAAGATGAACAGTCTGAAGCCTGACCTCATACAGCTCCGCAAGATCAGGGACCAATATCTAGTGTAAGTACTTTCATCACAAGACGAGCGGCTCCACGTTATCAGTTTCACATTAGAACTTATTTTAGACGCAGATTAGATCTTTGTAAATGGCCAATTACTGATAATTGCCTGAGTGCAGCGAACACAAGGTCTCGTTAGGACAGAGAGGATCTGCAGGATTCTGAGGACAGACGGAAACATTTATGAAGCAATGACGCAAAAAACATCTTATATGTTGCTTTTAAGCCTCAAGGCTGATTTGTTCACTCAGGAGGTTGATGTTCAGTATATTTAGACTTTAGGGGTTTGTTCAGTTCGTCTCTCGGTTCCAGGTAAAACACTGGTTTGTCTCAGAAAGCAGGATTATCAAGTTAACAGGGAAAACTGAACAAACCACCAAAGAAAGCTGGAACATGAACTTTATTCTGGCTTTTTCTCAAAGTCCGTGTTCTCTGTCCTCCTTCATAGTTCATCTGTGATTTAATTTAACTTCGTCATTGTTTGTCTCTTAAATCAAACTCATCACAGCTTCTCAGATATAAAGATGAGTCTCAAACGGAGGAACTAACATTTGATTCTTCACAAAGGTGTTAGTGGTTAATAACGAGAAACAGAGAAACTTGTTTGTAAAGAACAAAACCTGCGATTATGCAACAAGTTTTCAGACCAAAGAAGTCCCATCGTCAGTCTAATAGATGGTTATATAAAGGTGTCAGAGACAGATTCGTCTGTCTCCCTGCCGTTGGACAAAGTTTCTATAATCTCTCAGTTCATCATTCTGTCCATCAGGACACGAGTCGTTCCTGAGAATCAGTCCATCGGTGTCTGTGTCCTCAGACCTCTGGATGTTTCCTGCTTTGTTTCTCAGAACGAGTCCACCGGCATTTCAGCGTCGTTTGGCCTCGTCCCAAATCACTCTGTGTTTTCAGCCTCATGTTTGCTCAGGGCACCGTGAACGCTGCCGTGAATGAAAGAAGCCTTTCAGACTGATTCTTGGTAGTAATGGTTCTCCCTCTCCGTCTGTCTCTCTCTCTCTCCTTCTCTCTGTAGCTGGCTCAATCACAAAGGAGTTCGTCAGAAACGAATTAACGACTGGCTGGGAATCAAGAACGAGAACACTGATGAGTAAGTCGACTTTTCTGATGAGACTTTTTTTCTTACTTCTGCTAAAACTTTGGCCAAAGATGAGAAGTTTTGTGGATCTGAGAGGTCGAAGCTCTGCAACTTCTAAAAACATGTTCTAAAAACTGGTTCATCACGTCTGTGTCACCCTGGAAACTATTGTTTGTGCATCTTGGGTTTGACGAAGATGTTTTCTTCATTATTTACTTGTCTTGAGTCTAAGTTGCAGCGTGTTGAGCTCTCAGTAGATCATGGGGTTGGTGCTGTTACTGTACATGTGTCAGTGTACGCAGCGATAACTTAAGACGTAATTTAAAGCAAAGAGAATATTCAATCTCTTCCTCCCTGATGAAAACCTCCCCCGTGTGTCTGTGCAGAGCCTACTTTGTGACTGAGGAGGACGAGAACTTGCCTCACTGCGATGAGAAGAGCTGGTTCGTCGGGGACCTGAACCGGGTACAGTCGGAGGAGCTGCTCCTCGGGAAGCCAGACGGAGCGTTTCTCATCCGCGAGAGCAGCAAAAAGGGCTGCTACGCCTGCTCTGTAGTGTGAGTACACACAACATGTGAACGTAGAGATGACAAAGGTCACATTTTAAATTAAATTAAGTTATAAGTTGGTAAAAGAAAGTAAAAAAAAACAGGTCGAACAGAAAACAGAATTTTAAAAACGTCTCTGCCTCAGCGTGAATTCAGTCACATCATGTTTAACTTCGACACTTGATTGACTGAGTGTTTGTTTGTGTGTCAGTGTTGAAGGTGAGGTGAAGCACTGCGTCATCTACAGCACGCCGCGCGGCTTCGGCTTCGCTGAGCCCTACAACCTGTACAGCAGCCTGAAGGACCTGGTGCTCCACTACCACCAGACCTCGCTGGTGCAGCACAACGACTCGCTCAACGTCCGCCTCGCATACCCCGTCTACGCACAGATGCCCTCCGGACGCAGATGAACCCCACCCGTCTGCTCACACTCCCACATAGACAACAAGCCAACCCCCTCTCGGGGAAAGGGAGAATGGGAAGAGTGAAGGAAGGAAGGAGGGAGGGGGAGGATTGGTTGAAGTACAAACGACCCCCGACACCAGACCCGTAAACGATAGATAGAAACACTTGCTGCAACACACACGTCAGCCACCTTGGAGTTATATATATTTTTACAAGAACATTTTCGGAGGGCATTCTTTCTAAAGACTGCTTGATTTGCACAAGGAAGTTTTAAATGTTTGTGAATGTGAAAAAAAAAATAAGCGACAGAGGGAAGGAAGGAAACGGAGTAGGCAACTTCAGAGTTTCAGGTTGACCCCGCTGCTACCTAAACTCCAGCTCAGACTTTTTACGAGAAACTCAAAAAAAAAAAAAAACCATGCGAATGACGACGAAGACGACAACAAAACATTCCCATTCTAAACCTTTTCTTTCACCTCGAATGATTCTATTACTGCTTTTAGTTTTATTTTAGTTTGTTTCTGGAGTCGTTTTCATGTTTCAGATGTTTCCTTTTTGTTTACTCCCAACTTTGTTTGTGGTGAATGCAAGAGGAGACGAAGACGACGATGATGATGATGATGGTGATGATGATGTCAAGTGTCTGTTTCTGACCCTCTCCGTACGAGAAGCAGAAATAATGTAGCATAACGGAAAAACAGACGCTCGTGTTGTGGAGCGTTCCTCCATGTAGACTGCTGCTGCTGAGGGGTTAAAGGGGGAGGGTGGGGGAGTTGAACGGGGGAGTGGGAGCACAAGTGACACTAACAGTTTTGTAGAGTTGAAGGACAAAAGGTTTTTGCTTTTATACAAACTGTAGAGTTTTGTTTTTTTTGCCAGTGTGTAAATGGCAACGTCACAGATTAGAACCAGAGACCAAAGTTAGTGTGAAGTGGGAGGAGCAAAGAGTCCTTTTCTTCTTTTCTTTCCCCCCTTTGTGAACGTAGGGAGGAGCTAAGAGAAACAAATGGACGGTGTGTTTGAGACCACACATAAAACTGAGTTTTGGAACACGTGCTTTTGCACCAAATAGCCTTTTTTTTCTGGAAAACCAAATGGTACGAAAACAGAAACGCCAGCAGCTCCTGTGAACGCAGATGGTCGAGTAGGAAGCACTTACACGAGCCTTGTTTGTGACCTCGGCTCTGAACGTCGCCCTGCGCAGAAAACTGAGATGAACAGGAACACAAATTATAGTTGTGGAATATGTTTGGTTTGAGTGTTTAGAACAAGTAATAATGAAATAGCAGCAAACTCCTCTTAGGTAATGGGGAAAGAGTAAATAAAGTTTTAAGTGAAGTTTTTTTTAAGCGTGTTTAACCACATTTAAAAAAGCATTGAAGTTTCGCTGCACTCCTCATTTTAAATGTTTGCACAGTAATTTGAACGACAGCTCAGAGCTCTGAGGTCACAAGCGGCTCCGCACGAGACCAGACAGGAGGAAGATTTAAAACACTTTCACCGAAATCCTCCGAACGGAGAGAAACCGTCGGGACCAGAAAACCTGAAAACCCATTTTATGTGTGGTTTAAAAAAGCCGGTGAGCGAGTGATGACAGGCGAGTGAATGCTACAGACTGTGGGTTGAAAACTTTGTGCTCTTTGTTAGAAAACCTTCAGAAATAATAAGCTTTGATAAATGATGTTTTTTATGTGCAACGCAGCGAGAGGAGGCGGAGTCCCGAGCTGAAGACACAGGCTTAAGGAGAAAATACTGAAAACTTGAAAGAACGTGCAATCTAGCGTTGTGTTAATGAAGTTCAGCAAGCAGAGCGAGCGAGAGAGAGAGAGAGCGAGAGAGAGAGAGAGATGCACTACGGTCCGAGAGATAATCAAAGTGCACAGTGAAGCTTCTGGAGTGAAAGTCACTTTTTGTTTGTTGGTTCTTTTTATTTGATTTCTGTTGAACTTGTTTTTTAAGCTCAGAACTTCTCGGCCGGTGCTCGACTTTATAACCAGTGGAAGCATTTTTCTGTCAAAGACTAAAACAAATAAAAAAGCATCACGCAATAAAAATGATCTTCAAAAACTGAAGAGAAAAACAAGTTGCATTCTATTCTTCCTGGAGATTCTCTGTTCGCTGATTGGCTGAGACTAAGAATGAGAGGGGGGGGGGGCGGAGTCACTGCCGTCAAGGTTCCTAATAAAAAGTAAAGGGGGGGGTCATGTGATTCTGGTAACGGCAGCTGTTCTCACTTCACCCCACCTACCCCCCAACAACAACAGCCTGTGAGGTCGTCAACCAAAACGCACCTCCGAGACGATGCTGGTTACAAAGTCAGACAAAGCACCGCCCCCTCCTCCTGAGCCCCTCCCCCGGTCTTCTGAGCGCGTGCGACAGGTCAAAGCGTTAAATTGTTTGAGAAGCTGTGGAGGAAGGGGAGGAGTCACTGTGAGCGAATGATACAACATTGGTTGTACCCACCACGTGTTTATCTGCGACCGTCTCAACGGCCCCACCCCACCGTTATCATCCCGCCCCCGTGACACGGTCCACTCTGATTGGCTGGAAGTGTTGGTTTGTGGAGATGAAAGTCATCGTCAAGTCTACACTTTATTTCATTTGATCTTACGGAGACTGAAGTTTAGTGTGACCTGAAGGGGGCGGCACTAAGTCCAATCTGTTCTGTTCTTCACGGTCAAATGATTAAAATTAAACTTACGTACGGAGAAAAATGCTGATCGACTTAAATCACGCAGATATTGTGACGCATCACGTTTTTAAAATAAAACAAGCGCGTGGAAACGTACGACGTCGACGTGGAGACAAATTCCACAAAACAAAACCTAAAAAAAGTTGCCGTCAAATAAAAAAAACTAACTTAAATTGACGTAAAAACGTGAGATGACTTCACAGATCAGCTCGTTCTGATCGTGAGAACAGAACAAATTCGATTTCACTCGATCTGCTCCCGGTTGCTCCTCCTCTACATCCTCGCGTCGCTAAGACAACGATTGCGGAGGAAGACGGGAGCGGCGGCGGCGGCACAGCTGGACACGACCGCCTCAGCATGAAATGAGATTCTTAGAGACATAGACCAGACGAGTCTCAGCTGCGGACGTGTTACTTCTCCTTCGTTGAGAAACGAACATCGCGAGTTTCCGTCGCTGCGATGTCCGAGGTCTTTCAGGAGGTTTCAGATTCCGTAATTTTTCAGGGGACGGCCGGCGGAGCGTCGATATAATCTTGAATGTACGAGAGGATCGGTGCGGATCCGAAACAGGTTTTCTCTTTCCCTCTTCTCCTTGTTTTTTTGTAAAGCACCGCCGTCACATTTGTCCGTGACGGGAAACCAGGCGATCCAAACTCGAGGTGCTCTCAGAGAATCAGACATTTGGTCTCCACCCCAGTCACGAACCCTCAGGTGTTTTCAGGTCACAGATCGACCACAACAAAGCCAGCGATTTGAGAAACAAAGTAAATCAGGGTTTTTTCTTCATCGATACTTTCATCACTCAGTCGATTAAGCTTCATCCCCACGACTTTGACTTTTCTAGTGTCCCTCGTGGCTTCCTCTAGCTTAGACGACATCGCCACCTACAGGACGTCATAGTCTGTCCTTCCCCTCCATCACCAATTCTTTTATAGTAGCTGACTTGTTTTGTTTTTTTTGCGTAGGGAACTCATAAACAGCCCTAACTCTTATTACTTGAACAATATTGCATTGCTCACTGCTGAATGTCTTTATATGGAAATATAGGTTTATTAAAGAGAAACAAACGGAGGAGTTCCCTGTCGTTGGTGAGCAGCAGGTTTTTCCAGAGTTTTATGACAGATGTACAGTATTCGTTACAGGCAGAGAAACTTTAGGAGGGAGGTTTAAACTTTACTCAGAGATATGTTCCGATCTTTTCCTTCACTGAGGGCTCGTCTGAAATTGCACACATTATCATCTACAAGAGACTTGTGTTAATATTTACCTGTGATGTCTGATCCTGAGTCACGATTACACGCAGATGTCCTATCTATCATATATAAATATATCTATATATAAATACTGCTTAAAGATATTTCTGGTTCTTCTCAGTTGTTCTTTGACTGTTTTTTGTTTTTTTTTAATTATTATTATAATATTTTCGTTTCTCCCAAAACATTTAAACCAAAGATTTGAGTTGGTGTCGATCTTTCAGTTGTTGATTTGAAGGCGATGAGTCCGAGTTTTTTTGAAACCTCCACCGCCTTGATGTGATCACGACTCAGACGACGACAGCATGTTGTGTGAGTGAGTCTCGTACAGTCGATTTGTTCATTTGTGTTGAAAAGAGCTCAAACTGGTTCTTTTGTCAGGAAGGATCCGTCTCTAAGGTCGTGACAGTTCTCGTTCAGCGTTGCAAAACCAATCACGTTCGATCGGATCTTTTTCTTTTGTGTTGTTGGTTTAAAGTGAAAAAAGCAAAAGTCCCAGGAGTCACTGCTTCTCCTTCATGTTACTGCTGCTGGAAATGTCCTGTAGAAATCTAAAGGTTTCTTTTGACTGGATCACGACGCAACTTTGAACATTTTGAAGAGGTGATAAAACGAAGCCCTGAAGTCACGACTGACACGACGGGTTCTTCATCTTCATCAAACACGATATTATCGCCTGTAAACGTGTGGAAACATCAGAACCTCAAGATCAACAACATATTAATGTTGTGCTCACTAGATTATAAGATTAGTAATAAAAATTATACAAGAAGATGATCACATTTTCATTTTTTTTAAATTAGACAAGGAAGTTAAAATTTACACTTTTTTCTCAATTAGATTAAATTCTTTCTAAACTTGATGATTCGATTTACGAACATTTATTATGATTTATTTAAGGAAACAACGTGACTTTTCATCACTTCCTGATCCGAGCTTTCTACAGGACAGTTTCTGTTCTCTATCCCATCACAACTTGCAATATTCCCTGTTCTGTCCGCGGGTGTTTCTGAGCGGACGAGGTTTCCGTTTGCAGTCGTACGGAAAGAAAAGCAGCTGAAAGGTTTTCGTGGGACAAACCAAAATATCTGTTGATTTTTTTACTGACTGTTCGGTTGAGTTTTCACTTTGGGAAACTCAGCTTCTACTAAAATAACTCCAGGAAACTCATGAAGAAAACAAAGGTACATTCAGATTCACAGGTGCAGCCTCAGTAACACGAAGGTCCGACAAACCTACTGTTACCTTTTCTTTCTGAGCGTTTATGCTCACTACCACCACAGGACTGTTAACAAAGCAACTGTCTGTTGTTCCTCTGCTAAAATATTATTACTACTACAACTACTACAACTGGCACTCGAGCAGATCTGCAAAGTTTTATTTGCAGCCGGGTTTGAATATGTTTGTGATTCTCACGAGGAGTCGTGTTGTGTTCTTACCACTGCTTATCTGATCACAGTACCCAGCACAGCTTCGAAGAGGAACAAGCTTCTTTATAGATAAAGTTATATAAAGTTCATATCTTCGTGAACTTTTGCAAAAACAAACTAAAAAAAAAAAAAAAAAAAAGATTTTAAAAAAAGTGTATATGACACCCCTCCCCCCCCCCGTCCTCTCTTTGACCCTTTTTGACATACGTACAGATCCAGCATGCATATTTGGTACTATTGACTGTTGTTTTTTGTGTATAAAAGAAAAACGGTAAAAAAGATGTCTTTGAAAAACAACTGTTATTTGTCTGTTGGTGGTGTATTCAGATCTGAATTTAATATAGCGAGTTTAACATCACTGCTTTCAGCTGGAACAAGTTCTAGTCCTTTTTGTGTCGGTTGTAAAATGCCATGACGACGCAACACTGAGAAAGCGGATCGCTGTAAACACTGGGACGTCGGCCCGTAGCCCAGTGCATTGTGGGCTACTGCGAATGAATCGTAGGAAATCTAATTATAAGGAAAAACAAATGAGAGTTTTGTTTTAAATCTCGAGTATGAACAAGTTTTCAGAAGGTCTGCTTCTCGTGTTGAAACGTTCCGGTTCTTTCTCAGTGTCGCCCTCTGCCACTCCTGCTGCCGGCTGCTCTCGGTTTTCTCTCTCTTTGAAACGGAACCTTTTACTTTCTCATATCGGTTGCAATAGTTTGTTGGTTGTAGACTTTGCCATTTGTTAATGAGCTGAACTCATGTACGTTTATCAGTGGAGCTCCACCATATTCAGTTCTCTTGCAGAATAAAGAAAATATTTTGTTCAAATACAAACTTTGGAGTCTTGGTATTTTATTTTCCTGTCGGCTGGTGAAATATCTCAGACACGTTTTGATGAAGTTCCCTCTGCTGCTGCTGCAACACATATAAACTACTTCTATAAGTATATACTACAGTATATATATACACAGTGTAAATATATGGAGTCAGTTTTACATCAACTCACTGTTAAAATAATAAAATGAGAAATAGTTTGACGATTCTGTCAGTCACATTCTGAAGCATCAGAAAGTTTATCTGTTTTATTAACTTGTAAAACTCAAGAACTAAAAGAATCCTGAGTGTGAGGAAGAGTTTAAAGCTGCAGTTCGTCCTCACGACTGTAACTACTGACGCTCCGAGCTGGTGGAACGGTACGGAAGCATGTTGCATTCACTTGAAGAAGAAAAAAACTCCGGTTTTTCTGAGTAATTCATTTTTTTGAATATTTTTTTTCTGTTTTTCCGACAAATTTTTTTGGGGAATTTTCTCGAAGCGTAGAGTCGACAAACTAATAATAATAATCTACATGACTTAAAGACAGGACGATCTCCCAGAGTCTTAAACCAGATCAGAGTCAAACTTGATTAAACTAAACAAGCCGGTCATGTTTGTTTCCATCCTCGAGCTCTCGATGAAGGAACGAATGTTTCAAATGTTCTGAACTCAGAAAAACAATTAGTCTGAAAAACAGAAAAAAAAAACATTTGTCAGAAAAGCTGAAAAAATTATTCAAAAAAACAAACCAAAAAATAAATTACTTTTTTTTCTAGTGCAATAAGCTTCCGTAAGTAAAAACTGTGATGTCTCATATTTGACCCAGTGAATCAACACAACCTGCTCTGTGCAGACTTTGTTCTGTCAGAACGTCAACAACAACAACATCAACAACAACAACAACAACATCAACAACACAACAATCAAACATTTGAGCCAAAAACAATATTGAAATTTACTCTGGTAAAAAAAACTCTTTCCTCTGAGAACAGATTAAAATAACTTGTTTTCACAGATGAAATAAAAAAATCGGACTTTTCGGCCTCACGTCAGCAGGTTTTTAAAACCGGTCGCTCATCAACCGTGAGGTGGAAGCTTTCAACCACTTTAACCAACGACAGCTAAACTTAATCAGTCGCTCCAGGAAACCTAACGTTACCTCATCTGGACCAAACGCTGCACGACTGAGTCAGTGAGTGTCGGCTGCACCATCACTGCAGTTAATTATCTCCTCCAGGCTCAATCCTGCGTTGATCACACAGAAACCACGATACACATCCAATTACCAAGTCAATTAAGATCTTCATCAGAGGGACGTGCAGCCTGACGCTTCCTCTGCAGCGTCACCACGGCGACACGTGTGCAGGTACGACAAGATTAATGACAGAGAGCTGCAGAGCAGCTGGTGGAGAACGACTGAACTTCACACTGAGGCCTGAGGCTGCACGGACGGACGAGCAGATGTACGAGCGTTAGTTTCTCTCCATCTGTGTGTTCATGATCTCTGTGTCTCTCTCTCTCACACACACACACACACACACACACACACACACACACACACACACACACACACACACACTCGGCAGGATTAAATCTTTTATTTATCTCTGTGTCTCTGTCTCAAAAATCTGACCCGTGATTGTAGAAAATATGATTAGATATATATCGTGATATTTATCGATATCGACGGATATGAAAAAGAATATCGTGACATTCGACTGAGCTCAAAGTTTGTGTTTAAGGAGCCGTTAACACTTTAACATCCTAACGAGGGTTTCAATTACGGCTGTGCACTTAAAACCTGAAATCTGTTGAGGTGACAATGAGTCAGAGTGAAACATGAGGATCAATCAGATGTTTTCTGATGATCCTCATGTCATGATGAACTTCCCAAGACTTTCCAGAAACCGACAACTCGACTAAACTCAGAAAACTTAACTAGAAGAGCAGAACTTCACTCTTCACTATGAGAAAGTGCTGAGTCGAGATCTTAAACATTAAATCTGGATGCAGACGAAAAACACAAAGATGAGAAACTGTGAAATCTTCAGCCTCAGAAACGTGAACGTTTGGTGAAAGGTGTTCTGCTTTATCTGAAACTGCCTGAGAGATGATGCAGCGCGACACAGTGACAGACTGAACCAACCTATAATTAACTGCTGCAGCTGCAGCTCGTCCCTGAGACGCAGCGAGACGCAGGACAGACACGTCCAGCTGCTGATTGACAGGTGGACGCTGACTTACACATGGAAACTGAATTCAGGGTCACAGCCTGCAGGTCCACTCTCCTCCTCCCACATCAGCATCACTGAGGTCCTACACCTCCGTCCTTCATCCATCCATCATCCATCCTTCATCCATCCATCCATCCATCATTCATCCTTCATCCATC